TGCAACAGAGAAAAATACAAGCTAAGAAATTTAAGATTAGCGCATGTGATCTAATTATGGCATTATATTAAAGTTCTTGGCCTCTCAGGTTTGAATTTATGCATTTCTGTGGAAGTATTAACGGTTCCAATTTGAGACCATACTCTTAAGGAGAGAGACTCCGAAGAGAAGTGCAGCCACAGGCAAAGAGAAGCACTAAGGCGCTTCATACTTACATTTGTGGACAGCACAAGTTGTCGATCAAGGCCAAGCCAAATGACAAACAAAGGCTCTAGGAAATGATGTCCTAACATGCAACTGTTTGAATACAGAGCAACTTGCGCATGTTTCCATTAGTCCTGTAAGACCATCCATAGGAATTTTATTCATGGTCTCCACACTCTCAAAGGTAATGTAGAAGAAATCAGTAAGTAGCCTAATAAGCTCTTTGTTTAACCATGCCTCCTAAAATTTTGAACGATAACAGGTAAGTGTTGGTTGACGTTTGAGATTTCAATGTTCATGAGTTTCATAATATTTTGGCCAAGAAAATACTGCGAGAGAAGCAGATCGTGAAGAAGGTGAAGAGGGTGAAGAGGCTTGGGCGGGGGGCGGGGAGAGAGAGAGAGAGAGAGAGAGAGAAAGACTTGGCTTATTCCCTTTATATGTTGCTTAGCATTTTAGGGTGACCCAAGGAGCTGCTGGTTCTAAATGTTTAACTCTTCTTACCTCTCCTATGGTCCAAAAAAGTCCCTTATATAGCATTGCACAAATATTTATTTTTGAAGGTTTTTCCACGAAACAAAGCTATTTAGTCACTTGAGAGCTCCAGATGCTTCTCTACAACAAATAATTTCCCCCAATCCACCTTATTACTAGCACTAGATTAGCAAAACAGCTATGATGAAGACATATGTAGAGATATGGCCACATGGTAGTGTTGAGAAGCTAATTTCGTGAGGTGGTTGTCGAGTGAGTTCTCTAATGGTTGCATCTTAATTTCTACGTTAATGACACATAACTTTACTAGCAAAAAATCCTCTAGGTAAGAGTTAGAGAACCTATTGAGGAGACCGCGGTGAGTATAAAGAGTGAAAGAGAATCAAAAGAGCAAAGTATACTCAAAAGTATCAAAACATGTTCAAAGATCCTCAATGTGTGAAAAAAGATTCAAAATGTGTCTCTTCACCATTTATTTATAAGATTTAGACGGTTACACGAAATGCTAAACGTAATAAAAAAAGTACAATATTAATTATGATCCATTACAGATTGTACATGGCATGTGGCATGAACTGATATTTGTCTAAGTGACTGTAAGTCCTTAAAGTAGCTTTCAATTACAAGGAAAGTCCCTTAGGCGAGTCTTCCTGGACAAGTCCTATGGACAAGTCATTGCAAGACGAGTCTATGCGAGCAAGTCCCTTGGATGCGGAGGTGAGTCCTTGGAGGGTGTTCTTCATCATCTGGGTATGAATGGCGAGTCATTCAAGATTACAATAACCAATAGCTGAGGATTGTCAGAGTCTAGGGGTCATAATCATGGGCCCTAAAGAGCGCACTACTTATACTTGGATCAGGGGATGAGAATGGTGACTTTGATGGTTTGGATAATGGTGAGTGGCCTTGGGGAGCTAATCTTCGTTATGGCGAATGTCTCTCTCGAGCTTAAAAAAAATCAGTATGAGTCCCTTGATGTGCATACCAAGGTCAACTTCCTATTTTATGTCGTTTTGAATAAGTCATGTTCCCTCCAAGTGAGTGGCTTAGGCAGACGATGAGACTACTTTGGGAAATTTCTCCTACTAAAACTTGTTAAGCACCCATGAAATAACTACAAGGAGATGTCCGAGTATGCATTTAATTCATCGATTTACTTGTCTTTTTATTAGACAAATAGTAAAAAGGACAAGTAAATTTATGACAAGTATTTAGCGTTTTTACTGAACAGTAAAAAAGAGAGCAAGTATAACTTATTTCCCTATTATTACTGTAGACATCGTGCAGATTCCTCATCATGACAGTAATTTGACCTCACTTTGATGTAACACATGCATGGAGTTACAAACAAAGATTAACAAGAGAATTTATTAAAAGTTAACCATCATAAAATTATGCATCAAATCAAAGTAGGTTAAGAAAATTCACGGTTTTCCTTTTTGCTTAGGCAAAGAGATACATGAAGAGTAACCAAGACACTCTCAATCCAATACAAAGGCGAAGTAATGTAAAAGCTTATAACACAAATCCAACAGTTAATAATGAGATGTTCACCGTGAGGATCGGCTCTCTCTCTACGAATCTAGGCTGAGCGGAAGAAGATCTTCCACACTAGAAGTGAAGTGACCGCTAGGAAGGACGAGCCGAGGAACGTAGTTGTTGGGAAAGTAGCCGGAGTTGGAGGAGGCACGGAGCGTCCAATAAGGGACCACGGGGTTCTTGGTCGTTGAAGCTCAATGGTCCCGGCAAGGAAATACACGATACGGTTGACGTAGCGTTCAACTGTGACGTCGTACTCTCAATCCGGTTCGTAGAAGAGGGAGAGGAAAATGTCGATCTCCCCTTGCTCGTTGTACGTGAAACTGTGATCGACCTCAGGATCGGCCATGCACAATAAGCATGGGGATGAGGGAACACGAGGAGGAAGACCAAAGAGAGAAGAGGGTGGTGGAGAAGGGAGGCGGTGGCTGGACTAGGAGGGAGAGGGTGGGGGACGGCTAGGAGAGGTGGGGAGGAGGCTAGGGTTTAGGAAGAAATTAGGTTAGGTTGGGGTGGAGGTGTGGTTTGATCTAAATCTGAAATTAATCTCAGATTTTGATTAAATTGGGAGGGAAATAATTTGAAATTTGATTTCAAATTTATTGCAATTAATGCATTGATGGAGGATTAATGGGATGGGGCCGGCGGCATGGAGAGAGAGGGGAGAGGGGTTTAGAATAAAAACTGAAATTAATTTCAGCTTAAGTGAAATTGGAGGGAAAAATATTTGAAATCAATTTTGGATTTCAAACAAGGGTGAGGGAGTGAATGAGCATTCAATGGGGGAAGCCCATTATGGGGGCCGGCGGCATCATGAAGGAGGGAAGGGATTGGGGAAGGATGTAAGGGAGTTTCCAAATAGGCAATGAATATTAGGAAAGAAGAAAAATAAATCCAATTTGATTTATTTTAAAATTGGGTTCGATATAGAAACTTTCCTAATTTGGAATTCCCTAAATGGAAAGAATTTGAAATTCGAAATTTGAATTTCAAATATGAAGGCTAGGGGAGAAGAGGGCCGGCGGGTGGATGATGGGAGGCCAGTGGCCAGATGGCCGGCCGGTGGGTGGGAAGGTAGTCAGCGGCTTGGGCGTCCCAAGGAGGCCGGTGGCAAGGAGGGAGGGGGCTCGGGTTCTCCAAGGCAGTTGGAGGGGTGAGGTTTTCTTTAAGGGGAAGAAGAAGGAGATAGGTGTAGGAGGGAAGGAAATTTAGAGCCACAAACCTCAACACCACATCCACTTGAACTCACAAAGAGATCCACGATACTATCTCTCAAGAACTCACAAACAGATCTAGGGAAATTTCACGAACTCACAAACAGATCAACAAGGGAAAAATTTTCATTCATCAATAATTCCTGATACAATAGAGGAGGACATAATATATAGGCCTAAAGAAAAACAAAATATAATGACGTAAATGCCCCTGGGGCTACTAGTCATTACAACTAAAAGAAAGGGTACAATCGGTAATATCAAATAATACATAATATCAAAATAGAACTAAGCAGCAAAATAAAGACTGTGGATCGTGGACATCGATCTGCGCCTCCTGCGCTGATATACTCATCGAAAACATCTATCGATGTCCTCATCACACTTTCCCTTTCTTTCTACAAATATTGGCTTGAGATGTGCCATCTCATTACTTCTGATCTTTTATTGACAATTAGCTTGTTCGAGAATGTTGAAATGGACCTTACCGAGCTCGCTATGTTTAGTTTTAAACATGTGAAAAGGGAAACACTTCCCAAACATAAATAGGACGAAGAGGAAGAGAAAGAGGAAAAGAGGAAGATGGGGTTACCAATGAGCGAGTTGATGGATGTTGAGGTGAGTGCCCTTCGGGACACAGGACTAGTGGAGCTGATGGCTCCAACACCTATTTTGGAAGGTGGAGGCAACCAAAGTATCATTCACTACTAAGTTGACATCCTTAGTGCCACTGGTGGTGGTTTCACCGACTATGAAGAGTCCAAGGACAGTAATCCTCTCCTCGAGCTCCAAGAATGTAACTTCAACCATCAAGCAAGCAAAGCATCCTCCTACCAGGCGACCAGCAGAAGTGACGACCATTGAGGATTTGGCCCCCATGGTGAAGGTAAGAAGAATTATTTACAAATTCATAATCGAGTATTGTCCGGTGGAGTTTGAGCTAAGGGTATGCCTCTCCTTGAGTGAGTTATTAGTGCATCTGTCAAGTGAGTTCAAGGCACTGGCATTAACGCAATGGGCTCCTAGCTTATACAGGAAGACGGGAGTCCTTCATGATAGATTGCTAGCCTTTAAGTTGTTGGATAAAGTTTTTGAGATGTTGATCCCTCACTATTACCTAAATATCTGCATGACTTCATTAGCTACTCAGAAGATAGCATTCTCTACCAATGAAAGAAGTTTTCTTAAGCAACGTTCGAAACAATATCAATTCTTCCTAGTAAGTTAACGCCAAATAAACAAAGATGGGTAACTAGCACTATCCGCTGCAAGTACTAAATATGTCAACTGATTCATGACAATGTAACGAAATTCCTCAAAGTTAGATATAAATGATCTTACCAACACAAAGATATTGTAATGTAAAAATTGGCAAATGTCATCTCATCCACATTGGTTTTATCATATTTCCAGCATAAAGCTTATTAATTCAAACTATATAAGAATTCTTCCCAAAATATAGTTTTTTTTTTTCAAAGAAAATGAAATATAAATGAAGGTAAAACATGAAAGAAAAAAGGCAATAGTAAGAAAATTTTTCTACCTAACCGAGCGAGTCGGTTGATCCATCCCGGGATTTGCTGCCTAGTCAACCTCAGACATAAATCTTCGGTAAAGTGGTTGCAGTTTTTGGAGATTAGGTGATATGTATCCCCGTAATATTCTGCAGACATTGATTCCATGAATGTTCGAAACTCTAAAGGTGGCATGTTAATGTAGCCCAATAAAAGGGAGCATCTGTATACAAAACCAGGGCAGTTCCTGGGTTCAACCTCAAATACACCACTTGTTGGAAAGTCATGAGCCCCAAATCCATACTCTAAGCCATGAACTGTCATGGGGAAGAAACAATAGTACCAAGTTAACATTCTATTATGTGATCTCATCTGAGAGTTATCATTCGCATACAATTCCATGCTCTACACAACAACCCACTACTACAATTTCAAATTCCTTGTAACATAACTGTAAGAAGAGGTTGCCAAATTCAATCATCATTATGGAAAGCATTTATGGATAAGCAATATTTTGATAGAAATTTGTTGAGTTAAAAATGGCAAAGAAGACAGAAGAAGCAAAAGCTGCATCAAAATTAAATCTTCACATGATCAAAAGGAGATTGCATTGCCAACTCATTATTAGTAAAAGAACAAGTGAACTGTTGTTTTACTCAGAAGTGAACTGATAGGAAATGCTTGTAGGCACAACAATTTTCTTTTTGAATTTCAGCCCTTGCAAAAACAAATTGGAGAAGAATTTGGAAGAAATAACCAAAAATAAATATTTTTATTGATAAAAGATGAAAGAAAAGGAACAATATACAATGGATCCTCAATTAGAGAGGATGATCCATTTCTCCCAATCTCTAGCCGGCGGATAGAGCCCAAACAAACCCCAGGAACTCTCCAAAATTCAGTAAATATCCAAATAACTCCAAACCTAAACAATCTCATCTATTTAAAGCATACAAATATGATCCCAATTACTAACCAGCCCCTCCCTAAATCAAAACCTTCCTAAACCTCCCCCTCCTCTTCAAGTAATGGGCCCCACAAGGGGGCATATGGCTGGCTTGGCCGCCTAGAGTAAGACGGCCTTCGTTGGGCCGGTTCCGGTCTAATAATACCCCCCTCCCAAAGACATGCCTTGTGCGCAAGGTGGAAAACGGACTCCTTCCTCAACTTCCTCATTATCACAAGTGGTGAGAACCTGAAGAGTTCGGTCCTTACATATGTGCCCCAATATATACCTCTCCTCAACTGAAAGTAGTGCCAAAAAGTAGCTCCTTTTTCCTCTTCTCCTGTAACTCTGTTTCTGCAAACTCCTTGAAGTTGTCTCCAGGTCTTCTGCCTACAATCTTCCCTTTGGGGTCTCACGAAGAGTACTCGGTGTCAGCACCTTTGGTGCCAAAAAGATGGCGGTCATCCTACATGAGCCTCCTGAGCTGTTGCCTCACGTCCCTCACGCTAGGTGCCTCTGATCCTCCACCAACTGAGCTAGCTCCATAGCCTCTCCCAAATCACGAGGCCTCATTAACCTAATTGCCGCTCGTATATCTATTTTGAGCCCTTTCATAAAGTTCCCTTCCAGTACAGTCATCGAGAGTCAGTCCAATTTGCTAGCTAGGTGCTCAAACTGTTCACAGTATTCCACCACTATCCCCTCCTGTGTCAGGGCGAGAAACTAATCATAGAAGTCCTCTCCTCGGCTGGTTCGAAAACATTCCAACAAGCTGTCCTTAAACTCTCTCCAAGTTTGTATGGGTTGACTTGTATCCCTCCACTGGTACGGGTACCATGCCAACGCTTTCCCCTCCAAGCACATCCTGGATATCGTTAGTCTCTCCTCCTCCATCCTATTGATGTTAAAGTACATGTACATCTTCACCTTGTAGATCCACCATGTGCATCCTCTCCCTCAAAAATAGGCATCTTCAATTTCCTCACCCTCAGATCTCCTCTGTCACCCCTGCTTCCTCCTAAGTTTCCCATTCCCCAGGGGGTAATTCCCCCCAATTGTGTCAATCATCCCTTCTCCGCTCGCACCCAAACCTTTTATCACAAGCTCACCTTCTCCCTTCAAATTCAGCATCCTTTCGCTCATATTCAACTCATCTCCTTTCAAATACGAGACCTCTTCAATCATAACCAAGCCCTTGCCTTTGAAATTCAACCATTCTCCTTTCAAATTCAAACCCCCCCCCCTCCTATACTCATGCCCAACCCCCTCATGCCTCTCCATATACACTCTACCCGGCTCCCTAGAAATAGGCCCTAGGGTAGGCAATTTTTCTGCTCCCTCCAAAATCTCCACCTACTGATCTCCCCTTCGTTTGATTGGCTTAAAGCTTTCCCCACTTCCATATATGTCAGCGGCTTCCCTCCCCTCCAACGGCGATTTTTTAGTTTGGCCCTCAAGCAATTGCTTCAACATCTCCTCCATAATGGAAAATTTCAAGTCGATCTTCTCATGAACGACTGAAATTTTACTTTTTAAATCTGAAACTTGAGTTTAGAAATAAAAAATTTTAGATTTCATTTTTCTAAACTCCTCTTCCAATACTTCCACCATTCTTCCTGCCATAGGTCCTAAGATCTTTGTTAGACTTAAAATTCGGATTTTTACCTCAAAAATAGCAAAAACAACAATTCAAAGGAGAAAAACTGATGCAGGAATCAGCCCAAACAGCCCCAAAACTACCCCGGACACTGCTCTAATACCAATTTGATAGGAACGCTTGTAGGCACAAAAAGTTCCCTTGCTAAATTTGAATTTTAGCACTTGAAAAACATATTGGAGAAGAATTTGAAAGAAATAACCATAAATAAAACTTTTTTATTGATAAAAGAGAAAATGAACAAGATACAATTGATCCTCAATCGAAGAGGAGGGTCTGTCTCTCCCAATCTCCAACAGGCGACTAGAGCCCAAGCAAACCCTAGGAACTCTCCAAAATTCAGCAATATCCAGATAACCCTAACCCTAAATAATCTCATCTATTTAAAGCATACAAAAAAATACAAATAAAAATAAAAATAAAAAAATAAAAATACAAAATACAAAAAAAATATAAATATGATCCCAATTACTAAACAGCCCCTACCTAAATCAGAACCTGCCAAAACCGCCCCCTCCTCTTCAAGTAATGGGCCCCACAAGGGGGCCATCTTGCTTGGTTGTCTAGAGTAAACCAGTCGGCCCTCCTTGGGCCGGTTCCAGTCTAACATGAACCAAATTTATTTAATAGAATACCTTGCTCTTAAATTTTGTATAGTTCCACACTTACATGTGCAGTGGGCTTAGTTATGCTATGCATATCTATCAGAAGTTAAAAATTTTATGCGCCAAACTTATAGTTCAGACATTTTCTTATCACTAATGGGTTTTAAATTTACTTCACAGGTGAGTGGGGATGAGGTTTCATTAAAGTTTTTCACATTTCCATCAATAGCCAAACAAATATGCCATTCAAGATTCCACCAATGAACATCTAAATTCTCCTCCCTGAGTCCCAAGTAATTAGTTGAGCACATTATTTATGCTTTTTTTTTTCATTCAAATACAGTTAAATTACCTCACACAACTCATCTTAGCCTGTTGGTTGAGAGCTTAGCCTTCCAACTAAGAGGTCTTGGGTTCGAGTCTTTGTGTATGCATTGTGTGTGTGAGTTAGCCTTAAATGGCCAAAATGTCCAAAAAAAAAAAAAAAAGTTAAATTACCTCAATAGCAGTATTTAAAACTAGAGCATTATCATCACTGATAAAGTAAAAGCCTGCTTTAATGATAAATACAAAGCTGCAGTTAAATTACCTCAATATACGTGAACAAACAAATCAAAACTAATGATGCAGGTGAAAGTTAAATAAAACAGGAAATGTTTTTCAGCCTTCATGCCCCATGTTACAGTTGAAGCAAACAAAAATAAACTAACTTTATTTCACCATAAAACTGATTGATCCAATTATCTAAACAAGGTGTTTGGTAAATAAAACCCGATAATACCATCCTATTCAAAGGGAACTACACTGAAAAGCACACTCTAGAAATCAAAAGAACCGCAACTTGCACGAATTCTACTGAAAAACATAAACCAAAATAAAAATAATAATAACAGAATCTAAAGAGAATTAGTATAAAAAAAATTAACATATGCCACCTCACCTTCAATGCCCGAGTGAAAGATGCCTAAACCGCACCAGTACAAGTAATTGTTCAACGGGGTGAGATCGTAGACGTTGAGGATCACCGGAACCCCGTTGCTGCTCTCGTCTTCTCCGGATGATCCCGAGGAGAAGACGGCCCCCATAAAACTGAAATCTAGGGTTCCGACGAACTGGAGGAAGATAGAGAAACGAAGGGGAGAGCGCAAAATCCTCTCCAACGCCGCGGCGGGATTAGAGCTGGCAGGCTCGAAGAGCGAGACGAGGCGGCTATATGAATCTTGGTTGCAGAAGCGCTGGGTTGGCACGCCTTGAAAGTTGGCACCATATGGAAGCAACGGCTCTCGCGGCCACAATAAAACTCACAATTAAGGTGCTCACAAATCAAGATTATAGGTTTGGAACTTTTATTCGGTCCGGTGAACGTACGCTCCTCTACGTTCGGCCATCAATATTTTAGCGTCACGTAACATGAAGAAAAGTCGCCGACTCAGACCCGCTATTTTTTGGATTCTTGCACGTGCGTTTTTTTAAATCCTTGACGAGCCGAACAACATCGCATCACCTTTTGGATTTATTTCAAATACCTAGCAATACCGAGCAAATACCAAGTTGTACCTAGTTTTTTCTAGCAATACCAAGCAAATACCTAGCAATACCGAGCAAATCCCTAGCAATACCGAGCAAATACCTAGCAATACCGAGCAAATACCGAGTTGTACCGAGTTTTTTCTAGCAATACCGAGCAAATACCTAGCAATACCTAGCAAATCCCTAGCAATACTGAGCAAATCCTGAGCAAATACTGAGTTGTACCGAGTTGTACCGAGTTGTGTACAACTCGGTATTTGCATGGTATTGATCTTCACAAAGCAGTATTTATCATTTTTGCAAAGCAATACCTAGCAAATACCGTGTTAAGCTCAAGTTTTCCAAATGAGCTTGAGCGTAAAAAATTTTTAACAAGCTGAGGTCAAGTTTAGTAAATGAGCTCTAGTTGAACTCGAGCTCATTAAGAACTAAATAAATTTAACACGATTAAAAAGATACTCGACTCGCATACACCCTTATTAAAACAACTGACTCCGAAAAATTGCATTACTCAAGAAAAATACAATTATTTGAATTAAAAAAAAAAAGATTATCCCACCCAAATTTTTTTTTATTTATAAAATTTATTCTTTTCAACAAAAAAACAACTGCATTATGTTTTACACAGATATAAGTGCATGAAGTCTTTTTTTATACCTCTTAAAACACATTATGTAATAAATTTTTAGTTCATCTTTTAAATTTTGGATTAGTACTATTTAAGATTATAATAATTTAGAGGAATTAAATATATGAAATATATAATAAAGTTATGAGAGACAGAGAGAGTTTATAAAAATTTATGCAAATTTTGATAAATCAATTTTCATATAATTTTTAATTTTTTATTTGAAGATATATAATAATACCATGAAATTTAATTTGATGTATATTTGAAATATATGTGGTGCTAGAGCTACATACAAATATATCATTTTATTTGGCTATAAGATAAAAGGATTGACGTCTATTGAAGCCTTAAAGAGCTATGGCCACCCTTTTAATGGATGTTCACATAATACTCCATTCCAATAGGGTGTCGATCATGATTCCTCATTCTCAACTTTCAGCAAAAATAAGAGTGTTAAAACGGATCGGTAGGTTGGGTTCGAGTCAATTCCAAGTTGCAGCAGGTCTAAACGGGTCAACCAAACCTGAACCGATTTTGCAAACAAGTTCAGATTTTTCCTGAACCTGACCAACACGGGTTACAGGTTGACCCGACCCAAATCGCAAAACTGATGCATGTGAACAAACAAGGACAATCAGCACGGTGCCGGAGCCACAAAGGAGATACGGCGGACCGCGGTGGCAAAGCGGCCTACTGCCAGCCAATGTGACCAGCCGACTTAGATCTAGGTCTAGCAAGACAGCTCACAGCTAGTATGCCTTTTCGATTTCATAGCCTCGGCGGCTCAACCTGCCGGCGACGTGACTGCAGCAATGGGGCCTGACGGCGACGCGACAGGAGAGTCGACACCGTGACAAAGCGTTGGCATGACACGACAGTCGCAACTAGACGCGAACACATCACACGATCAAGTTATCAGGTCAAAAAACATGTTGATTTCGGTTTCCTGGTCAACCCGAATCCGACCCGTTTTCCCGAACGGGTTGAAAACTAAAAAACGAACTCTACCCGCTAAGCAAATGGGTTAACCCGATCCCAAAATTTTTCAGGTCGAGTTAGGATCATTTTTCGGGCCGTGTCAGATTTTGACACCCCTGAAAGAAACAATAAAAAAAAAAACCAACTCTTCATCAATGTGATACTTAGTGTGAAGGAAAGCGTACTGTGGCAAAACATCAAAAGACAAAAACTTCAAACAATTCTAAAATTCCTTGGTTGCAGACTAATGTGTGCGTCAATGCTTCACATATTTTAATTCAGACGAAGTCATCCAGACATGGTCTCCACACCATCATCATCAATAATATAAGCTCAAATTGAACATCCCCCTCCAATTATCTTGTCCACATTCAAGAGTACTTGGATTTGATCAAGTAAAGTGGAAGACTATTGAATATCAACATGATTTTCTATATATTAACTAAAACATATATAATCTGAAATCTATCTACAACAGTACTTAACAACAGAGAGCACAACAAAAATAAAAACAATCTGCAAAAATAAAAGCCATCAATCTCGATTATAAAGCTGAAAGTAGTGCCAAAAAGAAGAAAAAAAATTATACTGCGAGTGGGGAGGTTCATCAAAAAATTTGTTCAACTCTACAATTAAGAAAGACTCATTAGAACTGCATTTCATCAATCATTGGAGCTGCACCCAAAGTCTTCCACAATTGCTACCACAACAATTAATCCTGCAATGGAAGTTACCATCTCTGTAGCAACTTTTCCAATTTCTTCATGTAAAATTTTACCAATAGCTATCCATTGTTTCTTCCACTGTTCTATCTTAACCTTTTACAGAAGAAGAGTTTCAGAAGATGCAAATCCCCCTAAAAGCCATCACAATTCTACATGCAATGAGTTCTCTAAGTCTGTTCAGTAAGAAACACAATAATTACAGAAATAATGGAATAATTAAAGAATAATGATTAAAGCATAAATAATGAAAATCTTTGTCATTAAATCCTAGTCTCAAATTTATTGATTTATGAGAAATTAAACTGTTTTGCATATCCAAGGCAGATTACCCAGATGAATTGGGTTCTTAATTGCTATGTTATTCTTCTCGGCTTCTTGAAGAGACACAAGAATCAAAGAGTTGATTTATGCACATGTTCATTTGGATTAAGTTTATAAAATTATCATTTAAGTTTAAGATTTTATTTCGAACAGCTTTCTTCCTGCTGCTTAAAATAACTTTATAGTACAAAAATTAAAACTTTTGTACTAAACAACTGCTTTAAAGAAAGTCATCCCAAACGAAACCTAAATCAATTATAACAAGCTATGCTGCTAGCTATGAACCAACTCAATACTTGTTAAGGTTGAAGTAGTCTAAATCTGTCTAATATCTCAAAGATGGATTTCATCAACTCATCATTGAATATCACAAATTTGCCTATTCATCAAGATATTCCCCACAAAAAACTCAACTACTCATATTGAGTACTCATGCCAATTTGGAGTTCTCTCCTAAGAACTCATCTAGGGTTTAGTCTAAATTAATTTTGAGTCAAAGTAAATCAAA